GTCCATCCATCGCAAGGCTACAAATGTTCTTCTCCCAAAAAGATCCACCAACGCAGTCCAGAATCACATCGACTCCCTTCCCTAAAGGAAAATACACAATTCGTTTCAATGCATTCATTGCAACATTTAACAAAGATATTTAGTGCACCAAAATGATTGACCTTCAGTGAATTGCAGCACTTTTTCTGAGAAATCCTCCTCTTTGTAATTGATTCCCAGAGCTGCTCCAATCTGCTCTGCAAATGTTAACTTTTCAGGGCTCCCTGTTGTTACTACTGGAATGGCACGGCATAAGCGAACCAGCTGAATGGCAGCGGTGCCGACTCCACTCGCTCCAGCATGAATCAGTACCGTCTCATTCGGCTTCACTTTGGCTAAAAAAAATATAAAAAAAAGGCAGCATATGGGAATATGGTGGGCATAAAAAGCATTCATAAGCTGACATTGTTACCTATGAAGTGCAGAAGTTGGTAGGCAGTCAGCCAGGCCTCAGGAAGAGCTGCGGCTTGGTGAAGATTGAGGTTTGACGGAACAGGCATGATGAGTTCTTCTGGAACAGCAACATATTCTGCATAGCCGCCTCCTCCGAGCAAAGCCATCACTTTACTTCTCAGCATCCAGTTCCCCTTGACCCCAGGACCGATGTCAGCGATCACCCCGCTGGCCTCCAGTCCCAAGGTTTCACTCTCTCCAGGGGGAGGTGGGTAAAGACCCTTCTTCTGCATGTCAATTAAAAACTGCCATCAGTGCGGTTGAATTTGAACAGGACACAAACTTGGGCAGGATTTGTGGTTCACCTGTAGAAGATCAGCTCTGTTTAAAGCGGTAGCGGACACTCTGATGAGGAGCTGGCCATCTTTGGGTTCAGGCCGAGGAACATGTTTCACACCCAGTTTCCCAGCCTCGTCAACACAAACTGCCTGCATTGACTAGAAAATGAGAAGAAATACAAGCTATCATGCTTTTTTATATCTAACATTATTTTGTTTGTTTCCCTCTGTTATACTTTGGCAATATTCAAAGTTTATCATGCCAATACAGTAATATTATGACAGTAATAAGGGGGGGGTGAAGCAATTTGAACAACTTTAAAACACTCGGGAGAACACTCTTAAATTTTCACTTACTGTTTTCTCTTCGGATATTTCGGACTAACAACATAAACAGGATGCTTTCCTTTTAATAAAAAACACAAACGTGAATTAAGTCCTAAAATTAAAAACACAAACGTGAATTAAAAGTGAAGCTTTATAACACACACAACACTAATGCAACCTAATTTGAGATACACACGATTGAAATGAGAGACTTTTATTTACACCAGTCTGATTTTCTGCGCAATTTCGACGCACATATGATATGAACTAGATCAACTATTCCGTGCGTTGACGAAAACAAAACCTAAAGCAGTGGCACTGACAACTCATAGGCTATACATATCACTGTTATCATAGTTTGTTTTTGTAGTGAATTCACAAATTATGACATAACATCGACTGTCAAATCTCTAGAGTTGTCTGACTACATTAATATTTTAAACAGCTCAAATTTACACTTATTGTGGAAGAAAACAGCAACAAACTCAAGTTTACGCTTTTTTAAATTAAACTTACTTCATAAAAGTACTCCTTTAAATCGCTGTTTTATTGTGAATGTAAAGTTAGTTGATTGGACGTTGGCATAGTAAAAGTAAAAGGGACGTTGGTCTGACTCTGACTGAACTGAACATAAACTGTCGTAAAATGCTAGTACCTCCCATATTTAAAAATCCTATGGCAACCATTCAGTCAAAAATACGATTGTTACTATAATGAAAGTATATTCTAACGAACCACGTTCTAAAAGAAAACAGTCTGTAAGTTTCTTTCAGCTTTGAGACGGTTTAAAGGAGATTACAAACGAATTTACGTTTCTGTGGTAATGCTAATCTTCAGTAATAATAACCATAGTAACTATGGTATTTATTTAAGTAAACTATAGTTACTATGGAATATTATAAGAGTAAATTTATATATTTCACAATAGTGATAGTTCACCTAAAATTAAAATTCTGTCATTCTCTTCACTTCAAAAGATGTTTTGAAGAACATACCAAACAATTGATGAGCCCATTGACTTCCACAGAAAAAAACAATACAGCAATTATGTAAATCAATGAGGTTCATCAACTGTTTGGTTACCCATATTCTTCAAAATATATTATTTTGTGTCCATACAGTAAATGAAAGAAATTCATACAATAAATGATAATAGAATTTTCAGTTTTGGATGAACCATCCCCTTTAAAATACATGATCTGTAGGGATCTCAGAAACACAAATTTTAGGTTCAACTGAGGTAGTTTTTAATATTACAGAAAGCCAAAATAAGTTAATATTATTTAATACTAAATAATTTTACAATACTCTTTCCATTCTCCAGTGATTGGCTTATGAATTATTTTCATCTCTTTATTTAATCCACACATTAAAAAAATACAATAATTCATAAAAATAAAAAAAATAGAACTGACATGTGTACTGTTGTAGTATACACAAATTAGTCTTAGTCTACTGAAACATGAAATCTGGTTTATAATCCCTTTTCAAAATTAGGAAACGTCTTAAATGACGTAATAAATCAGGGGCGTCATTATCAACACAATAGTGATCATGTGACCGAGCGACTTGGAACACCTGACAGAAGGAAAGACATGTTATGTTTAAGTGTCATAGCAGCAGATACGGGCTCATACGAGACTAGAAAACACATACAGCAGTTTCAGGTACAGTAAACTTGCTTTTATTATGTATATACAATGTCCATACACATACATATTTTCATAAAATAAGTTAGCCTTCAAGCAATCATTGTGCTCTAAAAGTTTAAAGCTTCTGAGATATGCGTGTTTGTAAAATATATTCGGCTTAGTACAATCTGCACTACCAAAAAATGGGTGTGCGTCTGATTTACAGTATTTGTTTCAAGAAACATCTCGAAATGACAACACAGCCAAGCATTAAGAAACCCAAGTCTTTCATTTACACGGACGTAAGACTGCTGAACCACAAAGAGGACGTCTATCTTCAGAGGAAACTACACAACATCAGCACCAAACACAGACTCAACCTTAGACTGCTGGAGCAGGAACGACAGATCGCGCTGAAAGAGCACAAACGGCTGCTGCAACTAAAGGTTTGCGAACCGTACGCGACAATAAACAACACGATGAGGACCATATCAGAGGTCAGGATGGCAAACGACACACGCGGGACCCGATTCTCAAAATCTGCCCCAGCATTCAGAGCTTTATCCTCCATTCAAACCTCTGAGGATGATAACCAACAGAGGTTTGCTAAATCAGCATCATTTTTTGTCAAGCAAGATGATTCATCTCCATCTATGATATTCACAGAGAGATTCAAAGTGTCGGAAAATGGTAGGCTATCTATTCTACAGCTGAAAAACCTGGCGTTGATCGACAGCATCTCCCAGAGAGAGCTGATGTATCAGCAAGAGTGTTACCGAGCGTATCAAAGAAAGACTGAAACAACTGCAGAGAGAAAAACTACGGGAGAAAATAAGGAGCTTCCTCAACACTATAGAACACATTTAACATGTGCTTGTGAGTTTTGTTGTCAGATGAATCTTTATTTGTACTAAAGGACATTTTGAACTTATAGATCATTTTAAATAGTTGTTTGTTTCCTCATCTGCATGCTAATCTACCTCTGAGGCATCTCTCTGTTATATGAGCCCATTGATAGAACTGTTGGGTTTTTAACCGCACGATCACAGAACATTATTTACATGAAGTGAATTGATTTCCTTAAACAATGCTTCCAATCCTCCTCATGGTCAGGAGCGCCGTATGAGCCGGAGACTCCAGGAGCAGCGACTGGTTTTTCTTCCAATGTGGAGAGTCCGAAATGGTTTTATCTACAAAAATGAAATCAAATATACACAAAATTAATGTAATCTCAGTTCCTTTTCTTTTTTCAAATCTTTAAATAAAGAAAGTGCATGTTTTGGATTAAACGTGTGTCCGCCCTTCTTGCCAAGAATGTAAGAGCAAATACATTTACTCAATAACAACTTCATAATTTACGGAAGCCCTGAACCGCAACCTAAAAAAAAAAAATCTAGCATTTTGAGATTAAAGTCGAAATGTTTCGAGATTAAAGTCGAAATGTTTCGAGATTAAAGTCGGAATGTTTCGAGATTAAAGTCGGAATGTTTCCAGATTAAAGTCGGAATGTTTCGAGATTAAAGTCGGAATGTTTCGAGATTAAAGTCGAAACATTGTGCATTCATAACAGTGCGCGTCCACTGGCTCAGAGCACGCGCATGTGTGTGTGTGTGTGAAGTCGAACTGCCATGGATAAACCCAAAATAGTAGCTTTTTACTTTTATCTGGGCTTTCAACAAAATTCTACACACGTCACACGTGCTAGTGGCAGTGTTTCTGAGGTGTTTTCGTGCTCGTCTAGTCAACACTATGGGTCGAGAACACAACAGTAACTGTTCGGTCTCCCTCTTCAACGTAAATACGCTCTGGATACATTTTAAGTGCATCATTCTGTATCCAATCATTTGGCCGGATCCTGTGATTTCCTAAGATTTAATAACCACTTATGGTTGAGGAGAGATTCTCTGATATGATTGTAAAGCACTTTGAGTGTAGGCATATATGAAAGCGCTATATAAATGCCCTATTCATTCATTTATTCATTCATAAAGCTGGATTTCTCCATCCAGTCTGAAAAGTGTTTTCCGTGTTGGTTTTCCTATAGGCTAAAGTCTATTCCGGTGCATTATATTTTATAACGATAAAGTAAGATAAGTAATTCAGATAAAAGTAAAAAGCTACTATTTTGTGTTTATCCATGGCAGTTCGACTTCACACGCACACGCGCGCGCTCTGAGCCAGTGGACGCGCACTGTTATGAATGCACAATGTTTCGACTTTAATCTCGAAACATTTCGACTTTAATCTCGAAACATTTCCGACTTTAATCTCGAAACATTTCCGACTTTAATCTCGAAACATTTCGACTTTAATCTCGAAACATTTCCGACTTTAATCTCGAAACATTCCGACTTTAATCTCGAAACATTTCGACTTTAATCTCGAAACATTTCGACTTTAATCTCGAAATGCTAGATTTTTTTTTTTTTACAGATTTTTTTTTTTTTTTAGGTTGCGGTTCAGGGCTTCCGTAATAATTTGATAAGCACTAACTTTGATTTATATTTTTTAGTGTCTGAAAAATAGCAGATAAAAATGCTTTGTAATCTCACACTTCATCTCAGCCCATGCCATGTAAGAATAATATCCATTCAATGTTTAACAGTCCCTGAGTGATTTTATAGAAAATCGTTTCATATTAAAGAGGTAGTCCCTCCATTGAAAGTCCAGGTAACAGGCGTTGTGACTTTATATGATGGACAGATTTCATCTAAACAATGATCGACACACATACATAGAGCATATCATGTACGGTAATTACGTGTGTGATGCATGAGAAGAACCGATGAGGTTTGTTTGTTCTAGCACGTGATGCACACATGAGTTTCCATGTACCATGTGTTATGTGCTATATGCATGTGCGTTTATATGAGAATAAAAGCATTAGCAAATCTGTTCATTATATGAAGCGATTGTGTCTCTTCACAAGCTTTGGATTAAACCGTTTGACTCATTTTACACTGCTTTTGTTACCTGAGTACCAAGTTTTGGTTACCTGAACCTTCAAAGGAGAGTGAACTGTCACTTTAAATAATAATATATTCATATAAATATGTTCTGTTAAATTAGCATCTATTTTATCTAAGAGTGTCACGATTCTTCAAATCCTCGATTCGATTAAATTTTTGATACTAAGGTCACGGTTCGATCCAATTCTTAAATTTGATCAATCGGCCGATCAGGATGCGCTTCATGAGGCACACACGCAAGGTCTCTCGCTCTCTCCCTCTCTGCCGTGCTCGCAATATGGTTTGGATCCGTTTTTTCTGTCTCGGCATGCACACTCGCTCTTGCTCGCTTACTCTAGATCACGGGAGATTTTAACTAATTTGTGTGCATCAGGGAGCCGCTATCAATATGCGGCATATTGTACTATTAATTTCGATTGGATTTCGATTTGAATTAATTTCGACCAATTTCGATTTAAAATCGAAATCGTGACACCATTAATTTTATCCAAAGTGACTTTTATCACATATATATTACACAACAAGCAACATATTTTTTGTCAGTTCAAGCATTCCTTGGAAATCAAACACATGACCATGTGTGTTGCTACTAGTGTCATGCTCTACAGGAATGTTCTCTTCCAAGCGAGAAATCAAAAGCATGGGTCAAGCTTAGTCCGGGTGATGTGCCGTACCTTCACTCTCAATGCTGACACGTGTTGGGAGACATTGTGTGAGATCTCCATACTCCAGTGTGCACAGAACAGCTTTGGGAGTCTCTCCTTGTTCTGTACACATGAGCACCAGAATATTGCACAGCTGATTGCTCTCCATCACCTCCACCGAACCAACGAGTTCCTAAGGCAAAGACAGGAGAGAATACAAGGATGCATTGAATTGATCAAACAGATTTACAAAAGAGTTACAAAATATTTTCAATTCAAATAAATGCTGTTCTTTTGAACTTTCATTTAATAAAAAAAAAAACTGTATCACCATTTCTACAAAAATATTCAGCATGAAAGTCACCAAAACTGACAATTCTTGTTTCCTGATAT